AGGTCAGGAGTTTGAGACCAGCCTGGCCAACATGGTGAAACCCTGTCTCTACTAAAAATACAAAAATTAGCTGGGCATGGTGGCACGTGCCTGTAATTCCAGCTACTTGGGAGGCTGAGGCAGAAAAGTCGCTGGAACCTGGGAGGCGGAGGTTGCGGTGAGCCGAGATGGCGCCATTAGGCTTCAGCCTGGGCAAGAAGAGTGAAACTCAGTCTCAAAAAGAAAAAAAAAAAGGAAAAAAAGAAAACCGGAGTCCCTGTTCTTAGCAGGTGTTTGAAGAAGAGGCCTGGAAGCCGAAACTTCAGGGTTCTTCCCTCACTCATCCAGTTCCATCTCTGAACCTGGGAGCCTAGGTCCATTGTCCCCCTCTCCTAGTGCCAAGCACAGCAATTGGTAGGAAGCTGGCAGGACCAGGGAGACCTGAGGCCTGGGGGTCTCCTGAGAGGGCCTTCTTGGCCTTGAGGTGAAATAATTATATTAGCTACCATTTACGAGGTGCATAATAAGGGTCAGATACTGAGCCCAAGACTTTACATGCATAAAATCTCATTTAATCCTCACAACCCACCTTTTTCCAAAGGATGCCAGGCGCTGCCGGGTAGGCTATTTACCTAAAATTACTGGATAGGATGGGCACGCAAGCCTTTTCAGTTTTGTTGTTAATGAGACAGGGTCTTGCTCTGTTGCCCAGGCTGGAGTGCAATGGCGTGATCTCGGCTCATTGCAGCCTCGACCTCCCAGGCTCAATCGATCCTCCCGCCTCAGCCTCCTAAGTGGCTGGGACTACAGGTACGCGCCACCACGCCAGGATCTCTCTAAGTTGACCAAGCTTGTTTGGAACTCCTGAGCTCAAGCGATCCTCAGGCCTCAGGCTCCCAAAGTGCTGGGATTACAGACGTAAGCCACAGCACCCAGCTGGCACGCAGGTCTTTAATATCAGAATCTTCAACAGTCCAGCTTCATAGAATGTTGGGGGGCAGCATGGCGGATGGGGGGGTTGCGACTGTCTTCAGGCGTTAGACTGGGAGATGCCCCTCAAGGCAGCACCTGCTCCCCAATCAGCCAAGCCCTCATCTCCCGGAAAGAGGGGCGCTGAGAGCAGGGCATGGGTGGAGGGTCGGGTAGGGGGTTAAGGAGTGCTTCTTTGGGGGCCTGGGCGGAGCCGGGGCGGGGCTTGGCGAGCCCAGGGGAGGCGCCGAGCCGGTGGCTCCGGCTCACAGGCCAAGATGGCTGTTAATTAAAGTGCTGGCACTAGCTCCTTTCTGCAAAGTTTGAAGCCGTTATTTTCCACTCCAGCGAAGCGGGGAGAATCCGGCTGGGCTGACGGAGACGCCACACCGCGTCAGGGGAACAGGCGCTTTTTCGGAGCGGGAGGCGGGGCGCCGTGCGGCTGTGAGCGCGCCTCTTGGATGCCCCGGCCGGCGCGGGGGTGGGTGGGCGCTCCCGCCCACTCCTTGGCCCCCGGCAGCTAGCCGCGGTGTGCCCGGAGGACTCTGCGAGTGCTGTGGGTGGCGGGCGAGCCCCAGCGGCGTAGCAGAGGAGGGGCCCGCGTGCGAGCGTACTAGGGAGAAGGGGGTCCGTGCAAATCCCAGGCTGACGACCGCGCACGCGCCCCTCGGGTCACCAGCGCTGTCGCTCTTGGTGGGGCACACCGAGGAGACCGCCGTGAGGAACTGGGGGGCCTGATTGTCTGACAGCCGAACGCTGAAGACTACTCTTCCCGAGCCCAGGGAGGTCTGGCTGCCCTGAGCCCCCTACCCCTGGGCTTTGGGCGGTAAACAGTACCTAGAGACTCCATCGCGCTGAGGTTGGAAGAGCCCGGAGCCAGGCTACGAGTTTGAATCCCGGCTCTCCCACTTATTAGTTGTGTGACTTTGAGCAAATCTCTTAACTTCCCAGAGCCTCAGTTCTCCATCTGTAAAATTAAAATAATGTTGGACTTGACTTCTTTGGATTGATGTGAAAATCAAGCGTGATCATGTATGTAAAACATTCAACACCGGGTCTAGCACAGAGTAAACCCTGAATGAATGCTACTTATTGAAGTTTTTTAGCTCCCTCCTTGGTGGCGGTGGGGTCACTCTAACCCCCTCAGCCATCAGTGCTTGGAGGGTCCTCTCTCACAGCCCCCTCGTTGGATGTCCCCGTGTCCTTCTCCTCTCAGCCCTGGATGAGGTGAGCGACCTCAACCTTGGGTAGGGAAGGCCAGGGAATCATTTTGCCAAGGTGAAGGGTCAATAGGGAGAGTGTGAGCCGGGAGGGGCCTCTTGGGAGAGGAGAGGCTGGGGTGTCATTCTTTAGCGGCCGCCAGTCGCCTCCAAATGGCAGAATCCTCCCCGGTGGGCCGGATAAAGGAGGGCGAAGGAGGAGCGGTGGAGCAGCCCGACCTGGGCCTCAGATAATGTGACAAATATTTTGATGGAAGCAGACACGTTTCGGTTTATGCAACCTAAACACTTTGCTGCACTTGAGGAAGAGGAGAGCCTCCCACAGCCTGATGGGGAGAAGAGTTAGGGGGCGGCAGAGGAGGCTGGGGGTGAGGGAGGACGGGCTGAGGGGCTGGATGAGATCCACCCCTCCTCCTGGAGGCTGGAAAAGGGGGTCACCCCTCAGGGACGTATTTGCATCTGTCAGCATGCAGAAATAATGTGGGGGTGCCCGCCTTTTTAGGATCCCCTTTTCTCCCTGGTCCAGAGGCAGGGATAAAGGGATTGAGCAGAGGGAGATGGAAGAAAAGGGCCCAGGAAAAAGCAGCCTGGCCACAGTTCGGTGAGGAAGGGGCTGAAGTGAGGAGGGGGTTGAAGCTCCTGATCCCCCTCGGGGGAGGCGGGTACCCGAACAGTCACAGCCAGAAAGGAGGAGGCGGCCGCCCTCAGGACTCGGGCTCCGCTGGGCCCCCGGACAGGCATTCATCCGATCCCCGGATCTCCCAGACGGGTGGTCTGTGAGGCCTGAGTGCCAAATAGTCCCCTCTGTCAGCTCTTCTTCGCGTCACAACCCCCTTTCTCATCCTACCTTCCCGCTCCCCCCTTCGTCCTCCCCTCAATCACTCTCTTTGTCCCCTGCAGACCCGGGCGCTATCCTCTCGCTTCCGCCCCCTACGGGTCTTGGCCTGTCGCGACCCCCGTCCCTCTGTTTTCCTGGTGACCGACCCTCGAGGCCTCTCCTCTCCCGATCCCCTCGGCGCTCTCTAGCTCTCCCTGTGGCCCTCTCTCCCATTCGCTCTTTGGTCCCTACTCCCCCCTTTCCTTGGAGCTCCTCTCGAGTCTCTCGGACCCCGGCCCCCATCCCATTTCCGAGTCTCGGTCTCCGCGTACTCGGTCTCCCCTTTCCTCTCCCGGCTCCCGCCCGGGGTCTCCGCGGCCCG